GTCAGGAGATATTGTGGTTCAGTTTATCACAGTCTGTAGAAGTTTGTCTTCAGAAAAAAGGTGGAAGAAGGAAATGAAAATACTTTGTAAGGCAGTTATGTAGTATCCAGGCTGAAGTTTTCCAGAAATTTACAAAATTGTATTTGAAATTTTTAGTAATTTTATATACAGATTCCTGTGTGTCTGGAACATGAAACTACAAAAATATATCTGTGTGTGTTTGTGTGTGTTTGTATATATTTCTATATATAGATATATATCTAGCTCTATTCATATATATATGCATATATATACTATCATACTTACATCTTCCTTATAATTTTTTTCAATGTGTTTGAGATAGATTCTCATTCTCTAGCCCAAGCTGTTCTCAAGGTAGTCCTCTGGCCTCAGCCTCCCAAGTGCTGGGATGAAAGGTGTGAGTTAACCACATTCAACTTTAAAAAATTCTTTTCTTTTTCTTTTTGGAATTTTGGGATGTTTCTATTTTTCAGAACATTAATGAAAAAGTTGCAGGCCATGGTATTTTTTAACTCCTTTATCTTATTCCTCCCTTCAGCTCTGTGGTAGATGCTCTGAATGAAGGTCCTGTATGATGTTTCCCAGTAGGGACTCCTGGAAGGAGGACACAGAGATGCTACAGATGTCTTATAGATGCCAGGTGATTAAAAATCCAACAGAAAGGTTTAATATACCACTGTCTTTTGGCAAGTAGGGAATTGCATGTGCTACTTAAGAGCATCAAGCTTTGGTCTATAGTTCAAGCACCTGGATAAAAGTCAGGTATATTATAGAATTACAGTAGTTCAGCAGGGAGGATGGTTAACTATAAGAAGCAGGCCAGAGCAGTCAACAGTGGAATTCAGGTAGAAGTCAGGGCTTGGGCCTCTTCTTTTGTATTTCCTCCAAGCAGAGATTCTCCCATGAGCACCTGGGGCCAATGTGCATTCATTCTTGGAAGATTCCGGTGAGTCCAATGAGTTTTGAAGTTCAGCTTTGTTCCTAGGTCTGTGGCAGGCACAATTAGCCTGTAGATATATGTATTTAGCCATGTGTTGATGTGATAAAAGAGAGTTATAGGGGGTTATGGGATTGCTCACCTTCTCTGGGAATTAGGGAAGGAGAGGTGGGGATCAGTAGAATTAGAGGAGTGTAAAGAGGTGTGTTCTGTGCTCAGGGAGGGGCATGTGCAAAGAAGGTAAGATGTGTGTGAGGGATTTCTGAGGCCATTTGTGTGAGACGAAGCTGGACCACATAGGTTGTAGGCAAGTGGAAGCATAGAAGTTTCTTAGAATGGTATAATGTTGTGATTTGTATTTTAAAGAGATCATACTGTATGGAGAACCACAGGCATGGTGGCTAGCCTGTGAGGAAGCCATTGTGTGGATTAAATGAGGGTGTTTCTGGAATTAGGCAGTGGCAGTGTGGACAGTGGTGGAGGGAGATAATGAAAGGGTCTTGGTACTGATGAGCCATGATGGTTAGAGGGGGAGCCCTTCAGGGATGGTGCCTGAGGTTCAGACTTGAATGAGGCCATTATCAGGGAGAAGAAGATGGTGGGAGAGTTGTGACATGGAGGCTGGAAGGGAAGAGAGCAAGTTTCCATTTTGGAAATTATTCTAATTCCCAGGTATTAGACTAGCCATGTTCATTGTCCTAGGAGCCTTCGAAACCTAGTATCCCGAAGAAGAGGCAGATAAGGGGAAGGCCATATCTGACTGTTAACCTGCCGTCAGCACTAGCCTTACTCTGCAGGAAGGCTACTAACTTCTGATCCCTGCGTGAAGTGACAGCAGCCACCATCTCTGCAGTTTGTTAGCTCAGCTGGGGAATGACATTCAGCTTGGGAGCCAACTTTCCGGTCTAGAGTGGGAGGCTACATGTCTTCTACAGAAATGAAGCAAATTTGACCCCTGCAAATGAGTGATCAGAAGGATAACCCTCCAGCAAGCAGGGCTGATCTTAGACTATCTCACATCTTGCTTAAGACAAACTTTAGATGTGGAGCTGGTAATGATTAGGTTAGGTACTGAGATGCTCATTTGGTTGTGGTAGGAAAAAAGAGGACATTTCACTGAGCACACTCTCTGTTTTTGCTTAAGGAGCTGGTTTTCTGGCCTTCTCTCTTCTTTTCTGACATTGTGGCTCTTGTTTCGATTCATGTTGTTACTGTGGGTATTTAGCTTTTGTCTGGGAGATACAGACCTGAGTCCTACTTTGTATATATCCTCTTTTAGGAGATGTTTGAGACAGGGTCTCCCTATGGTGCCAGCTGGCCTGTAGACCAGGCTAGCATTGCTCTCACAGAGATCCATATACCTCTGTCTGGAATTAAAGGCGTGCACCACCACACTTTTTGTTGTTGTTTTTTTTTTACTTTTGCCCTCTTTGGATGACCTTAAGGTGCAACTTAGTGGGGCTGGGTTATCTCCACCACACATATTCTCAGGAAAGCAGATTTGTGATATTCTTTACAAGGAAGGAAGGGAGGGAGGGCGGAAAGAGGGGAGGCAGGCATATGGTGTGAGTGTGGTGTGTCAGTGGGCGTGCAGGGTAAAGATGCTGGGTATCTGAATTGGAGCTCCCTTACATGCCCTCTTGTCAGGAAACCTTATCAGAACCTCATCATCATTGTTTATTTTGCCTCTTTCTCCCCTGCACCCATGTTTCCTTACTGATCCAGTATCCTCAGTCTAGCAGCACCCCTCCCCAGGAAGGAGAGGTGGGCTAGGATGAAGGTAGCAGTGAGTGGATGGGTCACCTATGGATGGTTGAGCTCAGGACCTGTGATGGGCAGCAGCTCTTCTCCTGTGCTAACAGTAATGAGAGGACCCATTTCCCTCCCCCCACGCTCCTCTATAATGGGTGACCTTGCTTAGTCCAAGGGCCTTGGCCTTCATGTGATTGTAGGAGGTATGTGAGCCCAGGAAGGCTGTGTTTCTGACTGCGTGGAGTTCAGGGCAGAGACATCAGTGTGCAGCACCAAGGAGAAGAATCGGAAACCGTTCCTGGGTTGGAGGGCTTTTGAAGTTGGGCGGTCATAAACTGGGGCCTCATGCCATTCCTGGCTACATAGGTCACTGACATACTGATGACCTTGTGGCTCCAGCAGAGCTCAGCAGGGAGAACTGCCAAACACAGAGAAGCCTGGCCACACCATGCCATCTAGGGGGCTTTGCTGCCTCATTGGGGTGCAAGTCCTTCACCAATAAGCCGACTGCATCCCACGTGCTTTGATGGGCTCTCTGCCCCATGGAGAGCACAGACTGCGGTGTGCTCACAGCTTGTTGGACAACTCATCTGCTGCCGGGAATTTCATTCTTCAGTGTCAGCACAAGCTAACGATCAATACCAGGGGAAATCCGTTTGCAGTGTCATTTGTGAAAGTCTCCATACTAGGGCCAGGGAAATTTTGGGAAAAACTTTCTTTTCCTATAACTACAGGAAATACCTTTCTTATTCAAATGACTTTTTCTTATTTTCTATTAATGCAATGTGTGCTTGGGTACATATCAAGCTATCTGGGGCTAATTCATTGGATATCCCTTAGGCTGTTTTATGTGATTTGTGTATAAACAGGAAAGGCAAATCCCAGTGTGTCAGTATATAATGGTGTGCTAATGAGTTGTAATGGGATGGTATATGTGAAGGAATGAAGGAAACTAATACTGCATATGCTTAGTATATGTTGGAGCATCTGCCTCCGTTTATTTCATCTTCATAAGGAATGGATGTAGAGATTTTCCCTGCTTTTGATCTGTCAATCTCACTTCTAGGAAACCAGCTTAAAGAGCTTCTTGGATGAGCTCAAGAATGTGTAGATGAGGCAGTTCAGGGAAGTACTTTGATCTCATTTGAAGAGTCCCCACTGACATAGGGAGCTGTTACATACCACATGATCAGTCTCTATAAGAGATGGATTGTATTTATGTCACCAATAATACAAACCTTTTCATATGGAACTGTCTATGAATATATGCCCCCAAAGGGAGATGGACATCAAATCTTTGAGAGTAGGGACTTAATTCTTTGGTTTTGCTTATTTATTTTTTTTTTTGCATTATTTGAATAGTTTTATTAAACATTAACCTGAACATAATCTGGTTTGGAGAATAACTTTAAAGTACAATCAGGGCTAGGTATGGTGGTGCACATCTGTAATCCCTAGCACTCAATAGGCTGAGATACAAAAACAGGTGATTTTGAGGCTAGCCTAGAGTGTAATGAGCCTGTCTCAAAAAAATAAAGCGAAAACCAAGCAAAAAGTACAGTTGAACAATTTTAAAATAAAAGATTATTAATCCATTCTTTCTGTAGTCAGGAACTTAAATATATGAGGTCTCCAGTATATCTAGGGATAACTCCATGAAATTCCATTAATTAAAAAAAATAACCAGGTGTGGTAGCTCATATCTGTAATCACAGCACTTGGGAGGCTGAGGTAGGAGGATTGCCATGAGTTCAGTGCCAACTTGGGTTACATAGTGAATACCAGGGCCAGCCTGGGCTTAAGAGTGAGACCCTTTCAAAAAACAAACAAAACTAACAAGAAATAAACAAGCCCAAAATAAAAGTATATTTCCTTCTTTTACTTAGTGCATTCATTTTTGTCTACCACTTTATATAAGAGGTTTTTGATTCATTTGATCTTATAGATGAAATTGAGAAGGAAAAGCCAAGTGCACTGTCAAATAGAGTGTTGAGAATCGCTGCAGGAAGCCTTTCTGATTAGATGTCTGCTTGGCCAAGCACAGGGCTCTGCCATAGCTCCGATTAAGGATACGATGAAAAGGAAGCAATAATTTCTGATTAAGTTGCTTTTTTGTTAAAAGTTAGAAATAATCTCAAAACCAGATGATACCACTTTGACTTTTAATTTTCTCATCTGTAAAATGCGGAGATAAGCTGGGAAGTCCCCCAAAGTCCCTTCACCCCTAACATTTTGTGATCAGGGACACTTTCCCTCCACCTCTCAATCTGTATTTGTTTCTTCCTCACAGTATGTAGGAAGCCTGGATGTGCCAAGACCCAACAGCAGGGTGGAGATCGTGGCTGCCATGCGCCGGATCCGGGTGAGTGATCAGAGATGGGGCTATGTGTGTGGAGCTGGATTCAAGGTTCCTCACTGCTGGTCCTTTCAGTTCATGCTGGGGGGCAGAATAGATGACTGTACCCTCTGTTGTGCATGTCGTTCCTTTTATTGTCCAGGAAACTATTGTGAATTGGGCAGTTAGTCTTAATTAAGGGCAAGGATGAAGTGGATATTATGGCTGAGCAGTACCATCTTCCCTCCGTTGTGGCCTGCAGCCCCTCCAATTGAGATACATGTACAGTGGGGTTTGCTGGGTAGTAAAGGAGAATGGTAAATAGCATTTTTTATTCAAAAATTTTAAGACCAAAGCTTAGTAATCAACTAGTAATTGATTAAAACATTTTTATGAAGGTAACTGATTATGATATAAAGTATAAGATTTACTTGAAAATTTAAGACTAAATGTGAGATTTCAACAAAAGTTCCCTGGTCAGGGGCTTGAGGCTCTGGGAGTATGCATTTTCTTTTGTCTTCTCATGTCCCCTGGAAGAGCTTGGAATGTGTGACAACCCATTGCCTTCTGACCCTGGTACATGGAGCAGGGATTGCGAAGGAACTTGTGTGGGTACTTTACACTGGAACAGGAGAAATGAGTTTAGATCAGTATGCTTCAGAGGTAGGCTTGGAATTGCTCAGGGAGATGGCAATTGTGTGCAGAGGGAGTTGGTGTTAGGTAGCTGGGCTGGCCGACTCTGGATACAGCTTGGTTTATGCCCATTGCTCTTTGGAACGATCCATTCACCTAAATGGAAAACACATAACAGGTGCTGGAGGCTTCATTTTGCTTTGTTAGTATTACTTTGAGCCAGTTCTCCATCTGATTAACAGAAACATCAATTCAATGAAATCAGTGTTGGAAAAAATAGAAATATGTTTGCCATTGGTTTTTTGAGAGGCTCATCAGCCTAATAACCTCTTCAGTGACATGATGCTTCTAGTCTTTCAGGATTTTTTTTTTAAATCAAGTTTAATTTATTGAGACTACTATTGAATACAACAGTACTATTTTTCATGGACTTGGTAATAAGGAGCCTTAAAGCACTTTCACTAGAGTAATTCCATTGAAGTTTCATATCAAGCTGTGAGATAGGGGGTCATGTTACTTCATTTTCTAGATTAATCTGAAAGTCAAAGAGATAGAATGAGGAGTCATAGAGATCCAGGAAGGGACATGTGGTCTGAATGCATCTCATCATTTGTCCTAGTTTGTTTCTCCATTGCTGTGACAAAACACCCTGACCATTACCAACTTGGGGAGGAAAGGGTTTGTCTTACATCTCCCAGGTCACAGTTCATCAGGGAGCCCAAGGTAGGAACTCAGGACAGGAACCAGGAGGCAGGAGCTGGAGCACAGCCCATGGAGGAACTCTACTTCCTGGTTTGTTCCCCTGGCCCCTGCTCAGCCTGCTTTCTTATACAACATAGGCCCACCTGCCCAGGGGTGGCACCACCCACAGTGGGCTGGGCCCTCCCACATCACTCAACAATCAAGAAGGTGCCCCATGGACATGGCCACAGGCCAGTCCAATGAAGGCAATTCCCCAGTTGAGGCTCCCTCAATCCAGGTGTGTCAAGTTGACACTAAAGATGTCCAGCACATCATTCATCACTTGGTTTCAGGGAAACCGATGATTCACCCCTCTTTTGGCTACAGGCTGAGGCTCAGTATTTCAGGCCTCTTTTCTTCTTCCGTTGCCTTCCTGCACAGACAGAAGCACAGAGGTCTCGTCTAGGGAACAAGGGTGTTAAAATTGGGAGGCTGGATTGCCTCTGTCATGCTTGCTTTGGCAATAGGAAGGACTGGACCTGGAGCTGCCCTGTCACAATGATGTCCGCCAAGGTTCTTTTACTCATTCTTGATGTAGGGACAGGGAATATGTTGTTGCTAATACCCTATCAATGTGAAAGCAGTATCTCTGCTCAGAGGAATTGCTACTTCTACGTTGGGTATTTTGTTAGATGTTTTGATATTAAAATAATGTTTTATTACTATTTATAGTTACTCTAGATGAGGTGAGATATTATTGTTAATGTTTTACAGATGGAACTTTGGGCAGGATAAATAAGTCAGGTCAGGCTGCTGTTCATACGCAGAGGTGGGGTTCACACTCAGGCTGTGCTGTCCCTCCTTGTGCCCTGCTGAAGGCTCTTTGTCATGCTAATTATGAATCATGACCCCAGAAGGGGAGCAAAAGAACTAGGACATGGCAGAAAGGGAACTGATGGCAGAAACAATGGACAGAGACAGGTACAGGAAAATGTCACCTGGAACCAGGGACCGGCCAGGCATGGCGTGGAGCTGGGTGGTCATGGAATTTGCAGGCATCTGGGGCTGCAGTGTGGCCATCTTCTCTTCCCTCATCACCTGCCAGCTCTGGCAGCCACATGCCCATTCTGCAGCCCCCTCTATGGGAGCTGTTTCCAGCACTTAATGAGCAGCTCATTAAATTAGAGGGAAGAATTAATTGGTCAGAAAGTTGTTTGGTCTGGCTGTCCAGTCCCTTGTGTAGACTGGTAACCATTAGTAGCAAGTGCTCCGATTGTGTGTCTACTTACCCCAAGCCCCACAATTCATTGCTAAGTCCAGGCTGCTATTTTCTTTTATCTCTTTGCCTTTCAAAAGCTGTTTGGGCTGTAATTACAGCTGTCAAGAACTAGGGCATGGGATTTCTGTGTAAAGGACTATAACTGACATTGTCCTTTCATATCAAGTGGTGCTCAGCTGATGCTGGGTAGGACACTCCAGGCTTTGGTTTTTAATGCTCTGCTGAGCTTAGAAACCATACGGTCCCAGGGCTTGCCCAGAGCAGTGGGTAGTCCTGAGACAGTCATTGATAAGGACCACAAAGTCTTACAGGTAAGGTGCGTGTGCCTTGCCAAGGTCTTTATTTTATTTCACTTGTTTTGTCTTTTGAAATAGGGTTTTATTATGTAGCCCAGTCTAGCCTTGAATTTGAGATCTTCCTGGCTCCACCTCCTGCGTACTGAGATACAGGTGTGTGTTATCATGCCTACCATTGCCAAACTCTGTAGATCTCATTTCCGGTTCTCCCTGGAGTGCTGTGCTGTGGCAGTGAAGGCCCTTCAGAAGCACTCAGTGAAGGAAGGGCTGTGCTTGAGGGTGTCTGCATTCCTCCTGGGAGCTGGAGCTCCAGCAGGTGGATGCACTGGATGCATTCCTGCTCCATCTGTTGCTCCATGTCCCAGTGTGCACTGAGCTAAATGTACGGACTTTATCGCTGACTGTCACTTCCTTTCCTCTCCTCAGTTCTCATTTCATTTCTCATCTTTTTGATATTCTGAATTTAATACCTGTCTTGGCCATCTTTTTCTTTTTCAATGTTTTCAAGAGCTTTAGTGGGTGGTAAAAAATGCATAGCATTGAATTTACTTTATAAAGGTGTATTGTTCAGTAGTGTTAAGTACGCTTGTACTGCGATACCATAGATCTCCAGCCCTTATTCTTTTTGTAAAACAAGCTCTATATCCATTAAATATAATCTCCTATCCCTCCAGCCCTAGGCAGTCATCTTCATACTCTCCGTTTCTGTGATTTTAACTCCTTTAAAGATATCACAGGAGGGCTAAAGAGATTGCTCAACAGTTAAGAGCACTATCTGCTCTTGCATAGGACCTGAGTTCAATTCCCAGCACCCACATGGTGGCTAACAGCCAGTTCCAGGGGAATCGGAGGACCTCTTCTGACCTCCATGGACACGGCACGATACAGGTGCATTTACCATGTAGACAGTATACTCATACACATAAAAAAATAATAAAATATTTTAAAACGATATATCAGGAATGGAGCATACAGTATTTGTCCTTTTACATTGGCTTTCTTCCCTTAGCATAATGCCTCATCCATGTTGTAGCGGATGTCAGCATTTCCTTCTTTTTAAGACTTCATTATATTCTACTGTATAGCTAGAACAAATTTTCTTTTTAAAAAATATATTTAAATTTTTTTTAAATATAATTTTATTTTATGTGTATGAGTGTTTTGCCTACATGTATATAAGTGTACCCATATATGCGGTGCCCAAGGAGATCGTAAGAGGATGTCAGATCCTCTGGAACTAGAGGTACAGATGATTGTTAGCCACTGTGTGGGTGCCAGGAACCACACATGGGTCCTCTGTAAGAACAGTCAATGCTCTTAACTGCTGAGTCTTCTCTCCAGCTCCCACCAAATTTTCTTTATGTAATCATCTATTGAAAGACATTGAATTGCTTCTACCTCTTTGCTATTGTGAATAGTGCTGCTTCATGCATCGTATGGTAGGTTAATGAATTATTTGAGCCAGCATATCCCTGTGGTGTCCAGGCTGGTCTTGGACTCAAGTGGTCCTCTTGCCTCAGCCTCCTGAGGCAGGTGCCATTGTGCCTAGCAATAGTTCTGTTTTTTGAGATCCCTCTAAAACACTTTTTGTAATGGCTACCATTTTGCCTGCCTACCAACAGTGCCCAGTAATATGTACTATGTACATTTTTAGGAAAATGGCAAGAGGCTAAGAAGGTGTGTATGTAACTGGGAGATTAAACCCAATCTGGAGGAGACAAGGAAGGCAAGGAGATCAAAAAGCCTTAGGGAAGTGCAGAGAGATGAGCCAGTGATGGTAGATGGCTTCTGAAATGAGACTGCCACAGCCCAGGGGGGTCTTACTGCTTCTGGAGGGAGTCACCTTTGAACTGTTAGCCAGTGTCTAATGTGATGCCTGGGTAGTCTATGCCCTTTGTTCCCAGATACCAGTGCCAGCCCCAGCCACTTTACTTCATAGCCTCCTTGGGAAGTGCCCTCAGTATAGTCAAGAGGGCTCTCAACAAGGAATAATGAGAGTTGGGCTTGAGTTTTCTCCTTCACTTAATGTGTGACCTTGACAAGGCATTCAGCTGCGGTTAATCTCAGTTTCCTCATTTATAAAAGTCAGCATGCCACTTTGTGTCCTGTCTCTCTGGTGCTATTGTCGAATCTGGGAT